TAGAGACTGAGGGCGAGTGAGAGACGCGCAATCGATGTGTTTTGTACCCTCCAGCTCTCCCATAGTCTCTACTCCCCTGCCGCTAGCAAAACGCTGGTGAAACGCTGGGAACGCTAGATCGATATGCATCCTCTCCCCGGCACTGCCGCTGGCGTACGCTGGAAGCGCTACGCTACGCTGCCGCAAAGTATAAACGCAGCCTTACATTAAGTTAAGACCGTCGCTGCTACTCAACTGTTGCTACTTGGTGACGGAGAACAGGCAGTGTGACAATTACCTTCTGGGTCAGATTTGAAGCTACATTCTGCCCTTGACGAACGACCCTGTGACTGATTTAGTGTAGGTGCTTAACACTTTACACCAGCTATACACGCTCTAATTAACCAGCTGTTCACGCTCTCTTTAGTATGCTAACACCATGCTGTGTCACGACTACTTTTTGCACAAGTCAGGTACTCCTCGCTCTGTATGGCTCCTATGGGAAAAATTCACCAATGCGGCGCGAATTTTTGGTGTCACCGTGGCGGCAGGGCGAAGCGAAAGGCGATGGCCCGCGCCTCCGCCACTGTGCTCCAATCAGCAGCCGCTTTTATGTGGAAGGAAAAAGAGGAAAATAGAGAGAGAAAGATGATTGAACAGATAGTGGATGCTTACAGGTGAGTTAGTGGTAGTGGTGAGAGAATACAGAAAGTCGACTATCAGGGCGAATTACTTCAGCAAATGGCAAAACTGGCGAAATAGTTCCCTTCGATTGTGAAAATGGCGCAAACAGCTCTCGCGCAAACGTTTAGGTGAGGTTTGGCAAATAGCCAACAGTTGGATGTGACCTTATAACGGCCTAACGGTAATCGAAGAGAACTATTTCGCCCGCACGTTCGCCATTTATGAAGTATTCCCCCTGTCGTCGACTTTTTTGTGTTCTCTCATCACTAACAATAATTCACCTACACGCATCCACTATTTGCTCAGTCACCTTTTCACTCTCTTTTTCCTTCTTCTTCTCTCCCTTCTTTTCCTTCCACTTCTTCTATAAAAGCGCTGTTCGGAGCACACTGACGTCAAAGCCGCCCCGCATACAGAGCGGCTGATGTTTCTCCCCTACGCGGCTTTGTTATGATCACTACTGATATCGTGGGGCAGCGTTTTTCGTCAACACATCAGCTATGGTGTTTTGTCGTCGTTTCTTTCGAGGGTCCATGTCGACTTCTCATAACGGGAAACTGCTTCTCCAGAATTCCAGGGATATACCACTGACCATGAGATACAATCTTGGGAGAATGGGGCACGCAGTTGCTCGTTCATAAAACTACCTCGCGGTTTTCGGCTGCGCGACGCGCCGTGGGATGAGCGAGTGCGAAACTTTATCCTATTGTGGCGTACACACGGCCGATGGAGCGCGGGATTTTGTCAAGATGGTCTTGTAAGTCTGTTTAGCTTTTTCACTGATCAGCGCGTGTTAGGCTTTTACGTTCATGCAAACTACAGCGGTGTTATCAACGGGGATTTATGCAACAGTGTGTAAAAGTAGGCGGAGTTCCGTTTTTGTGAGGTTCTGTGTATGTCAGTAGTAAGAATGTATTTCACGTAGTTGTTGCTGAATAGATTGAACTTAGCGACAGGTATATCCTCGATATGCAGTCTAATCACTTCGTCGCCAACAGCAGTGACTTTGATGCAGATTGCGCTCTAATACTTCTACAGCTTTGACTCGTGGACATGCTGTGCAGAGGCTCTTCGATTTTTTCTTTGGGACTAGTCACAATTTCCTCTTTCGTCGAATGTTCTTTTTTTAATTCCATAAGCGTTGACTCCTTGATAAGTGTTGTCGGTTTCAGAGTTCCTGTAGGCGTTTTAAGCATCGGGGGCTCAGTAGTCGCTCCCGTAGGCGGTTTTTCGACCCTTCCCGCAGGAGCCCTGAAGCTCTGCTCTCCTGAAGAAGTGAGAGGTTTCGATGCGGAGCCTTCCTTCTTCATCTCAATGATGGAGCTTCCCTTGCTTGGTTCACTGGGTGGTTTTGCAGCTGAATCTTTGTTCTCGGGCGTCGGAATCGACTGTTCCAGCAGTTCACGCGTCATAGGAGATTTGGTAACCACAGTTTGTTTCGTCTCCTCCGTGACATTGACAACTGTGGTTCGTCTTTTCCGTCCACCGGGTGACTTCATTACTGAACTTTTGCTCTTTTGTTCGGTAGAAGATTTCATAGCCGAACTTTTACTTTTTGATTTCGCTTCAGTTTTCACATCAGGTTTCTTTACGGAATCGGGAAGACTTCCTGGAATCACACTCGGTTCTCCTCTTCTTCGGTTCGGTTGGAGGCTTCATAGTTGAGTCTGTGCTCTTCGGTCCAGTCGGTGGTTTCATTATCGAGCTTTCCCTCTTCGGTTCGCCTGGAGGCTTCACACCTGAGTCTGTACTCTTTGGTTCGGTGGATGGTTTCGTCGAAATTTCCTTCGATTTCGATTTACGTTCTTCATATTCTTTCTTGGTAGCCGTCGAAGGCCTCACACTCGAACCTTTCTTTGGTTTAGTAGAAGATGTCTTAGCCGACTCTTTGCTCTTTCGTTTAGTGGGTGCCTTCATGATCGAGCTTTCCTTCTTATGTCCAGTGGGTGGTTTCATGACCGAACTCTCCTTCTTTGCTTCGGTTGGAGGTTTCATAGCTGAGTCTGTGCTCTTCGGTTCAGTGGATGGTTTTACAACTGAACTTCCCTTCTTCTGTTCTTCGGTAGATGGTTTCGTCATCGAAGTTTGTTCCTTCATCTCCGTAGTTGCCCTAGTCACTAAGAACTGTCCTTCCCCTTGTTCAGTGGGTGGCTTGGAAATCGACTCCCCGCTCTTCTCCTTAGAACCTTTACTTTTCGATTTTGATTTACGTTCTTCAACTTCCTTCTTGGTAGCCGTCGAAGGCCTCACACTCGAACCTTTCTTCGGTTTAGTAGAAGATGTCTTAGCCGACTCTTTGCTCTTTCGTTCAGTGGGAGCTTTCATGATCGAGCTTTCCTTCTTCTGTTCAGTGGAGTGGTTTCATGACCGAGCTCTCCTTCTTCGCTTCGGTTGGAGACTTCATAGCTGAGTCTCTGCTCTCAGGTTTGGGTGGTTTCACAGCTGAGCTTTCCTTCTCCGGTTCAGCTGGGGGCTTCATAGCTGAGTCAGTTCCCTCTGGTTTGGGTGGTTTCACAACTGCGCTTTCCTTCTCCGGTTCAGCTGGAGGCTTCATAGCTGAGTCAGTTCCCTCTGGTTTCGGGTGGTTTCACAACTTGCGCCGCTTTCCTTCTTCCGGCTCGGAAGGAGGTTTCATAGCTGAGTCTGTGCTCTTTGATTCAGGTGGTGGTCTTACAACTGCACTTTCCTTCTTCGTTTCAGATGGTTCATAGCGTGAGTCGAGTGCTCTTCGCTCATCGTGCTTCATGAAGTGAGCTTTCTTTTCCGTTCGACTGGAGCGTCATACTGAGTCTGTCCTGTGCCCTCAGTTGGAGCTTTGGTAACATGAGTTCCTTGCCTTACCGTTCTAGAGCAGCGTCTGCTTTTTGATTTCGATTACGTTCCTCGTCTGAACGCTCCTTCTTGCTCAGTCGTGGAAGGCTCTTATACTAGACCTTCCCTTCTTCCCGGTTAGATAGAAGAGTGTCGTTAGCCGACTCTTGCTCTTTCGGTTAGTGAGCATTTCAGAGGGGCTTTCCTCTTCTGCCTCACTGGGTGCGTTTATCACATCAAGTTTCTGTTTTTGGTTCGTCCTGCGTTGAGCTTTAAGCAGAAGTCCACGCTCTCTGGTTCAGAGGGTTTCACTATCGAACCTTCTTTTTTCGTTTCGTCAGGTTTCACAGCCGGACTCTCCTCCTTTTGCTGCGGTGAAGACTCAGCGGACGTGGATTCCTTCTTCAACGTTGTTATCGTTGTAACAACGGCTTTCGAGCTATCTTTCTTCATTTCAGCGCTAGATTTCGATGCAGAGTCTTTGCTTCTTGGTTCCGATTGGTTTTCTGGCAGACTCTTAGCTCCTCCCTTGCCTTCGTGTTCATGATCAGACTTCCTTTGGATTTGTGGAAGTTATTCTGGCCGACTCTTTGCTCCTTTGTATCGGTTGGCCTGCGCGGGCCGAGGCTTACGTAGCGAACTTTCCCTTTTTATCGGTTTTAGTTCGAAGGGTACCCAGCCGAATCTTTGCTTCCGGCGTTGGACTGCGCTTTTGTAGCTGAAAGCTGTCTATCTTTCGCTTCATAGGCTTCCTTACGATCATCATATTCAACTCGGCTGGTTTCGCCATAGAGCTGCTCCTGCTGTTGCGCTGCAGAGGTCACGCTTTCCTTCTTTATCTCAGTAACCTTCGTGACCACTGTTTTCGAGCTTTCCTTCTTCACTTCGCCACTTTCTTTCGATACTGAATCCTTGCTCTCTGGTTCGGCTGCTGCTTTTGAAGCCGAGCTGTCCCTTTTCGCTTCAGTAGGAGGTTTCGTTATGGACTCATCCATATGCAGCTCGGTTGGTTTCGCCATAGAGCTATCCTGCTTCTGTTGCGCTGCAGAGGAATCGGTGGTCACGCTTTCCTTCTTTATCTCAGTAAGCCTTCGTGACCACTGTTTTCGAGCTTTCTTTTTTCACTTCGGTGCTTTCTTTCAATACCGAATCTTTGCTCTTGGGTTCGGTTGATTGTTTTGTAACCGAGCTTTCTTTAGTCGGTTCAGTGGGGTGTCCCATTATGGACTCATCTTTCTTTGATTCGGTTGGTTTCGTAACCGCGGGCTCCTGCTTTTGTTGGACAACCGAGGGATCGGTGGTCACGCTCTCTTTCTTTATCTCCGTTATCTTCGTGACCTCTGGTTTCGAGCTTTCTTTCTTGAGTTCGGCACCTTTCTTTCGTTACCTGAATCTTTGCTCTTGGGTTCGGTTGATTGTTTTGTAGCCGAGCTTTCTTTCTTCGGTTCAGTGGGGTGTCTCATTATGGACTCATCCTTTTTCAATTCGGTCGGTCTCGTGATAGGGGGCTCCTGCTTTTGCTGCATTGCAGAGGAATCGGTAGCCACACCTTGTTTCTTCAGCTCCGTAATAGTCGTGACAACTGTTTTCGATCTCTGTTTCTTCATGTCTTCGCTAGATTTCGATACCGACTCCTTGCTCCTTGGAGGTTTCTTGGCCGACTCTTTGCTCTTTTTCGTGGCCGACTCTTTGCTCTTTTTCGTGGCCGACTCTTTGCTCTTTTTCGTAGTTGGCGATTTCATAATGGATGCTTTCTTGGCTGACTCTTTGCTTTTCTTCTGAGTTGGTGATTTCATAATCGACGTCTCTTTCCTCTTTCCAACAGAGGGACTTCTTAGCCGACTCTTTGCTCTTTTTCTCGATAGGTGGTTTTGCAACTGAGCCTTCCTTAATCAGTTCAATAGGAGGTTTCATTGCTGATTCTTCCCTCCTTTCACCAGTCACTGTGGTAGTGACTTCCTTTTGTCCAATCAAGTCGACTTCGTGTCGCCCCATGAGTGGTGGGCTCCCTTTTTAAGCCTTCTGCCTTCGTCTCCATTGGGGGCTTCATCGTCAAGCCTTCCTTTTTCGGTTCTGCATGTTTCGAAATTGAGGTTGTTTTCCCTTCGAATGATTTCGATCGTTTCACTTTCTCAGTAGACTTCCTCCTTTCTGGTGATTTGAGTTTGGCACCGGGCTCTGCTGTCATTGTAGATGGAATTAAAGGCTTTTCGATTAGTGCCTGATCCGGTTTTTGTTGAGATGGCGCAGCTTTTTCTTGCTCTGAGACTTTTGGCGCAATCTCAGATTTAGACTTTTCCTTCATCTCTTGGAGTTTTCGGAGCTCCTCTTGTCTTGTGAGGTCGTTGGGTACAACTGCAGGGCTACTTATCACTTGAGCCGGACTCGTGCTGCTCTTTTCTAGAAGTGCTAGCCCTTCTGCCACCTTTCGTTTGAGTAATTTCTTTTGCTGCCGAAATCGCACGTACACATGCTGCTGCTAGTCCACCTTTGGGACTGCTTTCAGCTGCAGCCTGTGCTGAAGTGCTTTCTTCTGCAGTTGCGGGAACTGCCACTTGTGCTGAAGCGCTTTCTTGTGCGATTGCGGGGACTGCCGCCTGTGCTGGAGTACTTTCCAGTGCAGTAGCAGGAACTGGCTTCCGCGATGGAGTGCCTTCCAATCGCGCTGGGGCGCCGTCTGCAATTTTTTCACGTTCCTCTCTTTCCTTCTGAGCTTTTTGTTCGTCAAGCTCATTAGCAGGCACCAACGACGGACTCACTGCTGGAGGTTGCTTGCTAGCTGGCTCAACAGGACCTTCAATAGGATGTTGCTGTGGTAAAGGTGAAGCTGCAGGTGTAGTGACGGGTGTCTCAGCCTTCTTTGGTTCCTTCTCTTTTTCAGGACTGACCACTTCTATCGGAGGTTCTTTGACCTGAGGAGCTTCGGTCTTCTTTTTCTTCTTGGATGGGGTTTCTTCTTTCTCCTGTGTCGGAGCTCCTTTCTCAACTGGAACTGGTTGTTTCATTTCTTTCTCTTCAGCAGAAGTTTCCTTTCTTTGTACCTCAATTTCCTGCTCGGTCAGCCTATTGGGAGGCACAAGCGCAGGACTAACAGCAGGAGGTTGTTTGTGAGGGGGCTCGCTAAATTCTTCGATGCGATGTTGGCGTGGTTGGAGTGAAGTAGGTTTTGTGACAAGTGTTTCAGCTTTTCTTTCTTCTTTTTCCTTTGCACGGCTGATGACCTCCACTGTAGGCTCGCGCTTTGCAGTAGTTTTCACCTCCTTCTTCTCTTCAACGGGACCTTCTTCCTTCTTCACTAAAGTTTCACTTTCAGGTTTTTCTTTGATCTCTTTGATCTTGTGCTCAGTAACTACAGGCTCTTTCATCTTGACGGGAGTTTCAACTTTTTCCTGCGCTTTCGGAGGGGCTTCCTTCCTGACAGTATCTGTCTGTGTCGTCCCTTTCTCAACAGAAGTTTCCTTTCTTTGTACTTCGAGTTGCTGCTCGGTCAGTCGGTTGGGAGGCACGAGCGCTGGACTAACTGCTGGAGGTTGTTTGTGTGTTGGCTCGGCGAAACCTTCCATACGATGCTGTCGTGGTAGAGGTGAAACTGTAGGGGTTGTGACCGGTGTTTCAGCTTTTCTTCGTTCTTTATCCTTTTGTGAACCGATAACTTCTCTTGGAGGCTCCTTACGTACAGCAGTTTCGACTTCTTTCCTTTCAGTAATTCTGTGCTCTTCTTTCTTCACAAAAGTCACTCGAGCTTCATCTTCATGTTTTTCCTGGACCATCTTCTTCTCCTCAGCAATGGTGGACTCTTTTTTCTTGGGAGCCGTTTCGACTTTCTCTTGAACCGCCGTTG